TACACAAGGGCTATCTGTGCTCTGCCCACCACGGGTATCGAAACCCGGATTCTAGCGTTGTAAGTTCGCAGACATACCGCTGTGCCACTGGGGGGCTATATAGTTACTATCCACAATGATGCATAAAATATTATGTAGTTACTATCCGCCATGACGCATAAAATATTATGTAGTTACTATCCACCCTGATGCATAAAATATTATGTAGTTACTATCCACCATGATGTATAAAATATTATGTAGTTACTATCCACCATGATGCATAAAATACCATGTAGTTACTATCCACCATGATGCATAAAATATTATGTAGTTACTATCCGCAATGATGCATAAAATATTGCCACGACGCATAAAATATTATGTAGTTACTATCCGCCACGACGCATAAAATATTATGTAGTTACTATCCGCAACGACGCATAAAATATTATGTAGTTACTATCTGCCATGACGCATAAAATATTATGTATTTACTATCCACTACGATGCATAAAATATTATGTATTTACTATCCATACTATCAGTTTCCAACTAGGAAACCAAAGAGGCACACTACATTTAATATCATGTAGTTAGTATCAAACTGGAGCAAACCAGAGGAAGAGATACCACTAATATTTACAATGTAATAACAGAGGCTGTAAGGGAGCTGCTACCCTCACTGTCCGAGTTATTTTTACAGTAGTTGTGCTGAATGCTTGTACATCATAATATATTATCTTCTTTACCTTTCTGGATTCCAATATTCTTCACTCCGGGGGGTATTCGAGTTACTGTATAGCTAGTTTGAGAGTGGCTTCCATTTAGGTAAGACATTGGTAGTAAAATTGAATGTTCTTACAATAACATAGGCTCTGTGATGATAATCAGCAGCGTGAATAATTTCAAATCAAATTAATTGTAAAAACGAGAAGCTATATTTATTAGACACAAGTACGTCGACATCAGAGCTATTACATGACACAAACATTTAAAACACTAAATATGAACCACTGGAATTTTCAACAATATAAGAAATAAGTTATTAACATGGTACAAAAAAATTCTACAATAATTTTATAAATTGCACAAATAAAAATTTAAATGCTTATATGAAAATGTCACAATGTGAGAGATGAAATAAAAATATCCAAGGATAACAGTAACAACAAGAGTAAAATGGTACAGTACTCATCGACAAATGTATTTAACAAATTTGTAGTGGCATACTTGTGCTTCTCGAGTTCTATGAATAAATCACATTTATTTAACTTTTAATATTTGGATCTTCTCCTAAAAACTTTGTTTTTTCCAATCAGTTCCTACCACTCTCTTTATTACATTAAATTTTCTTCAGTGGTGTATATTCAGACAAATAGTTCTTTAATCAAGAACTGCCACACAAAAAAATATAATTTTCTCTGTACAAATTTCACATAAAACAAAAAAGAGACAGGACAACTACTAACTTATTTCTAAAAGAAAAATATTTCACAAACGTTTCATAATATGAAATTTAGATTAAAAACCAACAGTAATAATGATTTGATGTATATTACAATAACTGTCTGTACAGAACGTATTCTTCGTGTAAACGAGCTCTTTAAAAGCCCCGATATTCAAGGTGTTTAATAACAGTCTTGGTCTTTTGAATGCCTCTATATGAGATCAGAAGAGTAAACGCTGTATCACCATAAGTCAACGTAAGAGTTCACCACTTAAACTATTAAAATAACCCCACGATTACACAAGAACATGAAGACACAAGAGATTATCTTCAAGTATGCTTTCCTTGATTAAACTGATCGAGGTAAGTTCCCATGTGTGGCTGGGGTGTTAATGGCAGTATTGGACTTGACCCCAGGGAAATTCCAGTTACCGTATAGCTAGTTTGAGAATGGTTTCCGTTCAGGTAAGACATTGATGGAAAGCTGGGTGACACTGTAGAAAACACAGGTTGAGGAGATAACTGGGGTGGGAGAGGTTGAATAGTTGAGTGATGGATAGGGATAGGCAGACCCTGTGTTGGACTTGTTGTTGTAAAGCTTAATACCTAAAAACAACAGGTACAAAAACAATATTTTAGAGATTGGATGTAAGAATCATACTCGTGTACAATAACTTGGCAAACAGTGAGTTTTCTACCAATATTTGTCAAAGGATCATGTTTTGAGAGACAGTCACAAATTTTAAGTTTAGTAATTTAATTTGTTTTGTTTTTTTACTTAGAGATATCCACACTCCTTATATACACAAAGTACAGAATATTCTTGAGTTGTAACTAACCGTAGTTTTCAGACCAGCTGCTGGAACTTGCGAGTTGACAACATAACTAGGTGGCAACACTGGGCTCCATCCCTGACCTACAGGTTCATTAAACATAAAAAACACATTTTCTTATCAAACTCTCTCTTGTCATTAATCACAAACTGAAATATAAATGTACTATATCGCTTGTTTAAAGTCGGTCATCCTGATCTTCTTTTAACAATCTTTGAACTACAAATCTCAGGAAACTAGCTGAGGATCAAAATATCTCTTAAAAACTTGTTTCATCAAAATGAAATAGTGATGATGTCTAATATAATAACTGTCCCTCAAAAATTTTGAACACAATGTTGGTCTCATGTCAAAAAGCTAAATGCAATATTAGTCTCATGCCAAGGATCTAAGTACAATATCAGTCTCATGCCAAGGATCTAAGTACAATATTGGTCTGATGTCAAGGATCTAAGTACAATATCAGTCTCATGCCAAGGATCTAAGTACAATATCGGTCTCATGTCAATAATCAACATGCAATATCAGTCTCATGTCAAGGATCTAAGTACAATATCAGTCTCATGCCAAGGATCTAAGCACAATATCAGTCTCATGCCAAGGATATAAGCACAATATCAGTCTCATGGCAAGGATCTAAGCACAATATCAATCTCATGTCAAGGATCTAAGCACAATATCAGTCTCATGTCAAGAATCTACATGCAATGTTGGTCTCATGGCAAGGATCTAAACACAAAATTTTGAATTCAATGACAGTCTTATTAACAACCTATTTAAACTTAGAAGTTTTAATCATTTTAATTGTATTTAGTATAAGATCTATGAATATACGAGGCATTAAAATTTTTATTAATGTAATACTAATATTTATATGTTTTATAGGTTAGTTAGAGGATTCATTTTAACATGTCAGCAGACTGAATTTTCAAATTACTTAGATTTCGCATTTTCTTTCTTCCAACACTATTTTAGCAAAGAAATATCCTTATACTTTTCATGATTTAGTTTCAAACAAGTTCTGCCCAGAAATATCAAGGAAAAAAACATCTTCAGAAGCAAAAGCAAACTTCATGAATTCCTACAATCATGTTTGACAGTTAATCCAAGAAACTCTGTACAGTGATAATACAAACATGGTAAG